AAAAACAAAACAAAAAAAAAAAAAAACAACAACAACAACAACAAAAAACAACAAAAAAAATACTGTTAAACAAAATTTTTTTAAATTTCTCGCCCTACCGCGGCAAAAATTGATCCTCGATTCGTCATGGAGAATTTTAACAAGCACTTTAAGGTTAGAAGCCTGAACCACATTAGAAGTAAGTTTACCTCGCAGAGTTTTTAACGTTTGCTAGTAAGCTTGTAAGTTTATGCAACTGAAGCGTGACACGTTCGCTTGAAGACAAATGCATAAGTGGGCATCAAACTCTCTACGTCCTCTAGCTTGTGGTACTCGGGTGATTGTGTCGCACAGTTTGGGAAGATTCTCACACAAGCTGTAAGGGTTATTGATATCATTTTTATTTGGGCACAGAAAGGAAGTATACCCGTGGTAGAAGACGGGAAGAAAATTGCTTTGTTCCAGAGTAATGTTGCGTCTGACTACGTCGGACGTATCACTTAATAGGCTTACGGAAATCGAGGTCAACTGGATTCTTGTTTTTATAGAAGTCCTCTTGGTATGTTTCTGTCCATATTTACTTGGAGGGAGATACAGTTTAAAGCTTTCCACAAATGGAGCTAATATCTCTTCTTCCCCAAGCCAGTTGTATTCTCGGAGCCATGTTTGGTTAATACATCAAGGTAGTCGGAATGTCAGAGACTTTCCTCTTTTTAAAACGGGAAAGTTTATGAAGCCAGTGTCGCTCTGAAACTGAGGTTTTGTAAGTATGCACGCCAATTTTTCCTCCTGGAAGTAACTAATTTTATCTTTGTCAAAGGTGACGATGTTATCAAGATTTTGTTTATTGAAAAATTTAGGGTCAGGTGAGCAGTCATTTAGCCCATTTTCCTGGTTCCTGCTTTCAAGTCTGTTATATTAAAGAGCTACTTGGGACTGGAGTCGGTACTGGGTTATAAAAATTAAAATCCCAGCATAAGCTTACTTTATTCAAGAGAATCAATGGCTACATCGATTGACTCGGAAAGTTTTTTGGCAGCGTTGCCACGAACAACTGCCACCAGAGCGTCAATAAGGCCAAATTGAAAATCAAAGACGTTTTCCCTTAGCGATGAAAATTCTGCCAGGGTACCTTCAATCTTCTCCCACTCCTTTTCCAATAGTCGCACCAACACCTTCCGCCCCAGTTAGAAGATCACAAGAGGGGTCTTTAAATGCAGACCACAGCGTATCGTTTTTGTTCAAACGGGTTCGGATGACTTTTGGAGTGTAATCACTGTATGCCTTTTTAAATTTGTCAGCATCATAGCCGATTTTTTCCACTGTATTTTCCTCGGTGACCTTAACAATGGTCTGCACGCTGGAAATCTGATTGGCATTGTTTTTGAAGTCCCTAGTTAAGTCTGCTGAGTCTCGGACAACATTCAGAAGTGACGCTCTTTGAGCGATTCCACGAGTAAGTTCTTGAGTGGCTCTCTCTACCTCAGCCATTTGTTCATAGATGTCTCCCAACTCCACGCCACCGAAGATTACCTTCAAGGGGTTTGCGTTCTCGGCAATTTTTAATTTGATTATGACAGCTTTTCAACCAACTTGGCAGAAAGAATAGAAATCATTGCCGTCATTGCATTTTCAACGTCTGTTTCAAGTTTTTTTGATATCTCATCTGATTCCTGACTAAATTCTGTGCGCTTGTCTGAGATGAAGGTTACATCGGCCTTTGCAATGCCCTCATCATATTTAGCAAGACCACTAAAATACTTTGAGATGGTACGCAAGTTCTCACCCACTGAACGTATTTCTCCTAGAAGTTCTAAACATTGTAGGGTGTCTATCTTTAGTGTGAACATCTTGTAGTGATCTACTTTTGCAAATTGTCTCAAGTTGTTTGTCGTACCAGGGCTCAGCACTTCTTTCTTGATGAGTCACATTAAGGAACTGTAAAACTTGTAAATATATCCAACACGGCACATGTCGTCGGCATTAAGTTCAATGCAGGTAAGTGAGGTAAACTCAATGGAAGTGACTCGCTCGCTTACCAAGACACCGCAGTGTTCATGTTGGAGTAAGCTCTTGTTTGCCAGGCTGTTTTAAAGAAATCTGACCAATGCAAAGTACTGGTGTAAGCTATGATTATCGTTGACATGGTCTTGATCTCCCGCATTTTGTTGAAAGAGAAGACTTCGTAACTTCTCAAGTGAATTGTGGCATAGACTGTTTGCCATGAAGTCAGTTATTTTGTACCAGAGTAAAGCGGACATAAGGGGAAGTACTTTTGCAACCTGGCATTTGTCGTCGTCCGTTGTACCTCCATAAGGAAAGGGGTTTTTAGATCCAGAGCACTGCTTCACGTTTGCAAAAATCTTATCCGTAGAAAAAACGTGTTGCTTGTTGTTAGCGGTTAAATCTTCCTTTGCAATTGACGGGGAACACAAAGCATATAGCGGAATGTTGAAGACTGTGCGAGAATATATGGCTAGGATGCAGAGAAACGAATGATAATCTTTGAATGCTTTCAGCATAAACCCAAGCCCACGATCTGTGTAGTAGGATTCTAGTACCTTGCTTCTAAACAGTGAAGTCACCTTTGGTTCTAGTGGTTGGTCAAGCAGCTTTTTGACCAATGAGAATTCTATAGAATTGAAATATAAAACACCAGTGCCAGTATGATTGATCCTTGACAAATTAAATTCCAGGCAGTTTGAAGGATACCAGAAATATAAATCTGCCTTTTCTTACTGAAAGCCGAACGAAGACTTACGTTTCAGCACGAACGGGAAATCGTATCGCCGTATCAAGGTATTTCGATTGAAAAAATCACGAAGTTGAGTATCAGAAATCAAAAGCGAACAACACTTGCGATTTTTACTGACGGGACGGCTGCTCTTAAGTCAACCTACCGAGGTTTTCATTACTCCTCTAAAAACATATTTCACAGTTATTATACAGTTTGAATAAAGAGGACTCCTACTCAAAACCAAAAGCAAAAACTCTCTTATGCTATTACCTTTCTTGACTTGACACTCTTAAACTTAATCCTCGCTGAACAGCTGTCTATCGACACAATGCAACAGTCACTGGTAGTATCAGAAGGTCCGAAAAAAGGCAATCATTTTCACGCTTAAAATTAAAACTAGCCGATAAGTTAGCCTCTGAAA